CGTGTTAAAACGGCATTTTCTCAAATTTAAAAAAGCATTTGACCTAAAATAATATATGGTGCATTTTCCGATATAATAAGGTATATCTGGGCAAAATTTGAGCAAAATCGATTTTTCAGTCGTGGCCGCTTTATGTTTGATTTTTGTGGACATCCTCTCTTAAATTTTTTCCATCTTGTTTCCCTTGCTTAGCCACTTTAGTGAAAACAATGACACAAATACGCATGTGATTTTCATAACCTCTTTATTTCATCAAAGGTCTATATAAATAATAGCTAATAAACTCTTTGGGTTAATATGGTGTCAAACAACATTCAATATACATGTATACTACCGTTTCTAAATCACAATACATACGAATGAAAAATATCTAATATCTCTTCGAACAAAAACAAATTGAAAATATAGATATAGCTAAAATACTAGATAATTGTATACCGAGAAATAATTTGGAAAGTCTGTCCTAAATAACCAAGCAAAGAAATATATTTTACAAATACGACTAAAACCGATTTGGAAAATTAAACTATTAAAGTCCATTGACTTTCATTTAAAGACCTGAAACCATCCAATATCCCCAAAAAAGCTGCCCATGACAGGGCCACATACGACCATATATAGTTACTGAAAAATTAGTTGGATTTCAAATAATTTCTGTCCATTTCAATTGTTGATTATCTGCTAGAGTGGATACGAATTCAAAACTCAACAAGGATATATTTCAAGTCTTTATGAGGTCAATGATGTTCTCACAGAAAAGGGTGGAAAACAAGGGGAGTGTTTCGAACAGTGGAAGCCAATTTCCATTTTTATACAACTCCATACAATTTTGTTGCTCTAAAACTTTAACGATGTTCAAACGTATTTTAAAAACGAAGATAATTTCTATTTTTGCTTGAACAAAAGGACAGTTGCACTATATAGCAGCATTAGTTCTAGTAGCAAGTCGTTGGCCTATTTTTAAATATAACATTTCTATATGTCACCAACTGAAAAAACTACTGTTTAAAAAGTTACTTATTCAGGAACGGGAAAATATCCTATACGTATTTCTTAGCCAATAAGTACCCAATAAAGTAATTTAAAAGAATAATGTTTCTGTTTTCATTGTAGCGATAATTTAAAAGAACCTGGGACCAACATCCTCTGGCTCGATATTTTCCACTCCTGAATATATCTCAAACTGCGAAACATCTAGGGGGCTGTTCATACGATCCAACTTACCGAGACATCTCACCTACCGGACCTAATATTTATTTGCGTTCATAGCGAGTTTTCCATCTCGCTTGCCTAGATGAAATTGCAATGTAGTTGAATAAATAGTGCATGCAAAACTTGTACATTTCAGTACGAAACACAAATATTTAGGGATTTCCGATAAGTGGGCTGGTTTGTTCATACAGGAAATTTTCCATCCCGCCTACCTTGATCTCGGCTTACGCAGGCGCGATCTCGCTAAACGGGCCAGCCCGGCTTTCTCATATGAAACTAAAATTCCTACGAGGCGAGATCATAGGTAGGCGAAATGTCTCGGTAAGCGGGCTCTTATGATCAAGCCATAATTACCCATAATATAAGAACTAAGAATTATTGATACCAGCTTAGCATTGTTCAGCACATACAGCGGAAACGTCGATACAAAGAAACAACTGTAGCACCATTGACACATATTGCGCCTGTTGCTAGCTTGTCGTGTCTGGTGATGCTTGACATAGTACCAGCTTGTCATATGCGACGTATGTCTGGATTCGTTAGCCTTCTTTCTTCGATGGTACGTACGCAAGGGTTTTGTCCGAATATGATTGTTTTTTTAGGTTTCTTGTATCCGTCCGAGGCCTGCGTCGTATGGATGGGCAGAAATTCTGTGAGTGATGTGGGATTCTTCTAGTTGCTCAACATTTTGGTAGATGAATCACATCGGTTCGAACGGCTGGAGTTCATTGTCCCGTCAATGTGGAGAAATGTTTGAATAAACATTCCAAAATGACCTAACAAATTGATGAATTGTAAAATGCTAAAAAATTTCGAATACTTTACGACGTTCAAAGCAGTGATGTTAGAACATTTACCCGAACCGCTAATGACCCCCAGTCGATACCAAAATAACATAGCTGGAACATATATGCAAAAGCTATTCTTACGTCATTCATTTTTTTCAAGTTTTTCATTTCAACCTATAAACATCGGGTCTAACTTTATTTTCCAGTATCTTGCGTGTTCTGCCCATCGTCAGGGTCTGGTGTAGATTTTTCAGCGGTGGAACGTTCTGATTTACTTTGCGTTATATCGCTGTCCTTTATTTCTTTTTCAGTTTCAAGGTTAGTATCATTGCTTTCCTTCATATCCACAGGTTTTGTTTCATCGGAAACAGTTTTTACTGCTAGTTGCTGTCGTTGCTCCTCCGGCACTGGCTGTTTCTTAGCAATTTCGCTTTCAGTATCTGGCGAGTCGTTTTTGCTGCAGATTTTTTCTTCCTTGGCCACCTCGTGATGGTCCTTAGAAAGAGCTCGTTCTTTTACGGGAGAGTTTTGTCGTTTTTGCGAATTATGCGAGCTCTTCGCTGAACCAAGTTGTTTCTTTGGTGCAGCTTGTTGACCACTCGGTACAACGCTCTCCGCTGTTACAGCATGATCCTTGACTTTGCCGTGTTGTTCTTTCGTAGACGCATGGTGTTTTGAACTTTTCGAAGATGAATGATGATCTTTAGAAAAACCTTGATGCCCTTTTGAACTGTGTTCTTTCGACGAGGTGTGATGGTCCTTTGATGAAGGATGTTGGTCGTTCGAAGGTGCGTGATGCTCTTTCGCGTGGTGGTCTTTTGATGGTTCGTGGTGATCCTTCGATGGCCCGTGCTGATCTTTGGAAGTTGTGTGCTGATCCTTTGATGGTGCGTGACGATATTTTGAAGTAGCATGCTGATCTTTCGAAGGTGCGTGCTGATCCTTCGATGGTCGGTGGTGATCCTTGGAAGTTACGTGCTGATCCTTTGATGATGCGTGTCGTTCTTTCGAAGTACCGTGCTGATCTTTCGAGGGTCCGTGCTGGTCTTTAGAAGGAGCGTGGTGATCTCTTGAAGGAGCGTGGTGACCTCTAGAAGATCCGTGATGACCTTTCAATAATGCGCGGTCTCTTGGCGGGTGATGATCCTTCGATTGGTCGTGATAATCCTTTGAAGCTTGATGTTCTTTAGATGGAGCGTGATGATCTTTAGACGAAGTGTGGTGTCCTTTCGACGGTCGGTGATCTTTAGGCGGAGAGTGGTTGTCTTTCGAAAAATGATGGTCTTTAGCAGCATCTTTGCCCGACGGATGATGTGTCCCATGCTGACTTGCTCCATGATAATCATGCACAGGTCCGTGACCTTTTGCAGTTGGACGACGTTGACCGTTATTTTTCTGATGGTGATCGGTGTGTTGGTCTTTAATTCCTTCACGGCCATGATTAATATTACGGGCACTGGCTCCTTTCTCAGAGTGGTCTTTCTCCCCACTTTGATCTCCAGTTGCTTTATCACGTTCATCTTTTCCTTTCGAAGAAAGTCTTGCCCTTCCTGTACTTGTCGTTCTTTGTCTATTTGTTGAAGTCTTAGCATGAGCTTGATTTTCACTTCCCTGCACTTCTTGTTCTTTACTACCATTTGGCTCTTCATTACGATCTTGTTTCGACTGACCGCCCACCTTGTGATCTCCTTTCTTAGGGAGCTTTCCAGGGAAATCACTTTCTTCACCAAAGCGGTTTAAAGGCTAAAATGAATAATTTTCAAAAATAAACTTAATCACCAAATACAACCAATACATTGTGGTCAATAATAGCCCTATGATTTTTTCAACCTTTCTAAAATTGCCTGAAACTGTGAAACCACGGATATGGACATAAGAGACATAGGGTCCCAAAAGTTAAAACTGAACTTTCAAACGGTCCTTTTTTAATAGATGTCTATTTAATTATTTTTAACCGTAATGCTCTATTTTTATTTATACCTTCATTCATTACAAAATTATTGTTAGCTATAATTAATTCATTAGTTCGTAGTTAGTACATGATTGCTGTAATTTTATCTGTAATATTGTAAAAACACACGTATGTCGTGATTCTAAATTTATTATAAAGACTTGGGTTACAGCAACCAACGCCTATTTTAGAAAGTTTGAAAAAATCACTAGCAGACAGCACCATACGGCCTTCGTAAACGTCAATCTTAAGGACTCTATTATCGCTCCCTTACCCTCAATACTTCCAACGAAGTAAAGAAAGAAAGAAAGCCAAGGCCATTTACAACAGAAAAACATAAGTAAATTTACTGTACATGGCAAGAAACCAAAGAAACTATTCAAATTAAAACGACTTACATCATTTCTAAAGTCATCAATTGTTTTGTATGACTGTAGCCTTCTCGTTATTTCTGGATCGATTTCTGGTAACATCTTGCCCTAGACATGACAAATGTTTTGAAAATATCATTACAGTGTTACCAAACTTACGTGAAATCCCATGACCCTAGTCACCAAGATATATCTGGGAAATACGCAACGTCCTGAGGCACCAAGGTGTAAATGAAATGGCTAAGAACTTACCTTATAGTATTTCAAAAATGCCCAAAACTTTTCAAGGCCATACAGGAAACCTACCAAAAAACAACTTTTCATGACAATAGCTCTTTTACGAGACAACTGTTACTGCATGTCGATGATACAGTATTGAAAAGGCGTTTAATGATTGTATGACAATACTAACCGGAGTCGTGATCCGACAGCGTCTCTTCCTGAAAGTCCTGGAAAAGATCTGGCCGGAACTTCCTCTCCAACCCGTAACTGTAAAACCTGAACATACACTCGATACCATACCTAACAAAAAAAACAACACGAAAAGGTTTTTCATATGAAAATCAAATATAATTTGCGAATATAACTTTCTAAACTTTACCCTACAAGGCCTTTAAACTTTGCCATATGTTGACAATTAACTCTTATAGCGACGTGTATCTGTGCTCGAATAGTTGCTAGACCATTCATGACGGGTTGTAGGGATCACTGAGTAAGTTATTCAGTCAATAAATCGCCACTTGACCGCAAGGATAAGCCTGAAGTTAGGAAGTTATAATCGTCAAACAGAGCCTGACACAAACCTTAATCTGGTCGCTCTCCTCCCACACCAAAGTTTATATTCTGTCTATTTCACATAACTGAACAACAAACTAATTATAGTTAAAACTGCTAATAATAATATAATCTAATTAACACTAAGCAATCAAAAAGCAGATTAAATTTTTAGTCTGATAGACCAACAAGGTGAAAAGCGGGGTTTTGCCTTTTTTACATCCGCCCAGACAGGGATTTGTGTCAGGCCCTCTTTTCCCTTCCATCCACCGCATTTACGGAAGGGAAAATAGGAGATAAACACTGTATCTTCCAACAGTGACTCATGTAATTAGGATCAAAATCAAAGAAAAACATATGGCGATACAACCTTCATATGCACATGCTATTAGAAAACAAGTAAACGTACATGAGGCCATTGGGGCAAAAGTACAATAAACAGCAAAGTCTATTGTCTTGTCAGAGAAAGTCGTTCCCAAGTATTCCACACACCATTGCAGAATGTGTTTACTACAATACGTACCTATATCCGGCTTTCGCATCTTCATTAGCGTATTTTCTGAACTCAGCGTACATCTTCCTGTTGGCAAACAAAGAAATAACATACGTTATAACACTAGGCAACATTAAGACTAATCTTTAACGGGAAAACTTCAAGTAGCGATAAATGATATTATACTTGAGGAATTACTGGATCAAACTGTCGGAAAATACAACAAGAGCTTCTACTTTTCGAGCCGTGCCTACAGATCTTATTTTTGTGGAGATAGCCAGCTTCGAATGGAACTTGGTTTATACTGGCCCAGCCACTACAGTAACTGCAGACTTAGAGAGCGGGCTGCACGTGAGTTTTGCAGTTGTTGGCCAGTAACTCCAGGCTTAGATAGCTGGCTCTACATGATTTTTAGAGTTGCTTGTCAGTAATTCAAAATTTGGATAGCTAACCGCATACGATTTTTGGACTTTTTAGCCAGCTCATGTAACTCCAGATTTAGAAAGGTAGCTCCATTGCTAAGACATGATATTCCTAGTTGGCCCGCAACTCCAGTATTCAACTTTAGAGTAAGCCCCTTATACTACGAGTAGCGTCGCTCCATGGCTCCCCTACCTCCGCAGCCATGTTTCGAGTCAACGCCCATCACCTGAAGCCTTCGATGAAAACGGCGAAGTTGTTGTTATATTTTTCAAAAAGTTTGATCCGTAATCTCACGAATACAACATTAATACTACTCAATAAGTCATCTCGCTATTACAAAAGAACCTCCTAGTACCGAAAAAAAAAACAAGAGCAGTCTGACTACGTTTCAACGTTTGTCATCTGGAACATCTTCCATATTTTATTGCATGCAGTAGTATTTTATAATGCCAAACAATTTGATTCAACTTAGGGGATCCCACCACTTCATGTTAAAGCCACAAAACTACCAATGGACCATTTGCATTATAGACTAAATTTTGATCTAGACAAAAATTTCATCACAGCTTGAAAAAGCATCACAAAATTAGTAATATTCCAAAGTTTCGTTGCGAAATGCGGATAATAGGGAGCTTAAGATCTACAACGCGAATTTGTGACGCGGA